GATGACAATAAAAGCTGGGAAAAGGAGAAAGAAAAAGCTCTGATATACGGTGGATTAAACTCCGATCTGTGTTAAAATGCAGGCTTTTATTTCAGAGGATGTTTCCTCTATCCTCTGGAGGTTTGAACTTTCCTGAGAACTCAACTACTGTAAACCAGACTGAGCTTTTATAGAGAATCTGAGTGGTTTCCTTTAGTGAAACATGATAGTGGAGGTGACTGATTGCTCTCTGTGATGAACACTGATTGCCTGTAATCATGGAGGTGGTTTTAACGTGATTTGCTTCATTAAACATGCATGCTATGCAGCGGAGGAAAACGCTGCGATCCGATGCGTAAAAATAAAAACAGGCTTGCTTCACACCTTCATGACATGCGACAGCGCAGCAGAACTAAACCTGCCTGCATAACAAGGATCAGGCAGCCGGTGCAAACAGAGCGGCTCTGAATGACGGGTTCTGGTTAGAATCTGACCTCTGGGATCGTGGCAGTCTGCCCAGATACAGACATGACGTCCACAAGGACCAACATCTACATACTGTACTCCAACCCTCAGGCCTCATGTCAGGTTTTAACACCTCCAGTTCCTTCTTTGTTCTCATTTTTCCTTCTTCCACCCCTGCAGGTCATGAACTCGTGGTCAGACTTGAAATGTTGGCTGAAGCCTGACGGTTCCTGATAGTTATTGTTGGAATGTGCAAACCCAGCCTCCCCACACCATGTTCCTATCTCACTAACGCACAGGCGGGTGGTTCAAACCCCAAGGTGACGCACTCATTTGCATGACAACTGGTTGTACAGTTTCCAGTACAGCTCAGGAAAATTCCCACATGGATATCAGGAATGTTCAGCGCCGCAGCAGAGGGAACGCTGAAAACCATAAAGAGAAAACAGGGGTTTTCAGTTCTCTATAGAGGCTGCAGTTTGAAATTAACAATCATTATTTTTACATCCAAATGTTGGAAAATGACTAATTTCACATAATGTTAGTATATGGCAGCTGAATCCAACCCCACCCTTAACTTCAGGTTATCCAGCAATAACTCGACCTCAGACACAGGAATTCTAATTGCTTTATATTACAGCAGAGCAGCCGATCCATCATTAAGTCTGCAGACATTTTTTCCTGAACAGCTCTATGAAGGGCCTTCACAGCATTTAAGGTTGAGATAAAGACTTTGACTAGGCCTTTGTAGGCCCATTCACTTGTGTACTTCTATTTTAATCTAGTCTCAAAAGCATCATTCCTTCACCACCCTGCTTGACCACCGGAAGGTTGTGGTTTTAGAGTATTTTACCCTATTAATTCAGTTCAATTCCATTTATTTCTATAGTGCCAATTCACAGCACAAGATGTCATGCAGTCAAATTGATTCAAAGTTTTATATCTAGGAAAACCAGCTGATTGCATTAACTCATTGTATCAAGTGTTGGTTGTAGGTTGGTTGAAGAGCCAAATGCAGAGACCAGGAGAGAGAGATGAGTCTTGCTAATTTAATAGGCAACTGAGACAGAAATACAAAAAAAAATAAACAAAACAAATACTGATAACCAAATAATTTTACAAAAGGGAAAACTCACGTGGGGAG